GCACTCTACCCAGGGGGACAGCTTGAGGCTCCGTCTCAAAAAAAAAAAAAAAAAAAAAAAACAAACATACTGCATCTAGAGTGACTAACTATCCTGGTTTGCCAGGGACTGGGATTTCCTGGGACTTCAGACTTGCAGTGCTAAAACTGAGCAATCCCAGGCATACTAGGACTGTTGGCCACCCTCCTGCCTCTGACGTCTCACCTCTGCCTGAGCACACTGCCCCCTGCCCCAATCACCTGGTTAGTTTTTTCCAGCAGACATGGCTGTCTTTCCAGCTCTGCCTGGTACAGTTGCAGAGAGACTTTGGGTGGTCCAGAGCCTCTCTCTAGTCTGGAGCCCCTGTCTGTTCTCCACACATCCCCAGGATCTCTAGCCCAGCTACTTGTGTTTGTCTGTCTGTCTCCATGAGACTTGTGCAGGATGATAAGATGATCATCTCCAAATCTTATGTACTGCTGCTCCCTACCAGAAAACATTATCTGTCTTCATGGGTTCTGGGGACTGCACACACACACACACACACACAATGGTAGCACTAGTGTCAGATATTCAGCTGGCAGTCGGCATAGGTACTGATCAATCAGGATGAGCTCAGAGATTAGCCAGTTCCTGGAAGCCATGGTGTCCCAGGCATCCACCCACCTGGGGCCAGTCTCATGGCTGCATTTGCAGCAGTCCTTAAACAATGCATAAGAGTGTTTCAACATCCATCTAGATGGCACCTTCTCCTTCTGGGAATGCCTGGGATTGGAACCTACTGGTTGCCCTGCCCTCCACCCTAAAAAGAAGGAACTCTGAGTGTCAGGGGTTGTACCTTCTCTTTTTGTCTCTCACCACTTCCAGTGCCTGGCACATAATAGGCCCTTAGCCAAGAAGAGCCAAATGGGGTCTGAACTCACCCTTTTCTATTTTTCTCTTCCTTCTCCCCTCCTCCTTCTGCTATTCACCCTCTCCATATCATAACCTAGACATGGAGGGGGGGTGTCATTGTTCCATGCTCTGGATTGAAAGAATATCCCTCCAAGGGTAAATACTGGCTGCAATGGGAGCAGAGGGCCCCTCCAGGAATCTGACCAGGTCTTGGGGCCTGTACCATACTGTTTGTTATATATTTTCACAATCACGCCTGAGAATAGGGAAAATCATTCCAGGCAAAGAAAACACTAGAATAAAAGCTAGGAGGGGCAAAACAGTCTCGGGTTCTACATTTTTTTTTTTTT